GTAGGGTGTCCAGTCTAGCCTTGAAGTTGAAATCTCCATGCCTGGGTCTATCATGTAGATGGCATAACAGGTCTGCTTCACCAGGCCTCGCAGCAATTATTTTCGGGCAGCTCTGAGATCTTTCCCCGAAAATGTTGCACATGGAAAATGCCACCTCTGAGTAATACTAACCATCAAAGCTTCAAGGGTCTTAAGGATGATACTTCAGTAGACCACTAGAGGGCAATGTAGAATCAAAACTGACCGAGTGGTTGGTGCCTTCTTCCTGAGTCAGGGATAACTTCCCTGCCTGTTCATATCAGGATGACCCACTATTATTGAGCATCAGAGCTGGTTCTTGTGAGAAGGAGATTTTGATTTAATGCCTCAATAGAACCAGATGGCTTGAATGAGACATAGGGAAAAAGGAGAGGGAAAGGAGAATAGATATGGTTATAGATAATATATGATGGGAGATGTCGTTCTGTATATATGTTTCTCATACTGGTCAATGAATAAAGCACTGTTGGCCAATAGGAAAGGAAGATAGGAGGGGCTAGGAGACAAGAAGGAAATAGGAAGTAGAGAGAAGAGCCAAGATGGAGAGTCTGGAGTAAGCAGTATGCTGGCAGGCTCCCCGATAGAAGAAATACATAGATCAGCAGAAATGGGTTAATACTTAAGATAGAGCTAGTCGATAAGAAACTAGTAATGGGCCAACAGATTATATCAAATACAGAGTCTCAGTGTGTGTTAATTGGGGCAGGCATGGCAGTGGGACAAGACCAGGTGGCAGGCAGGAAAAACCAATACTCGTCACAATATTCAGGAATTTGTGGCTGCTCAAGAGAGTGTGAAGACAGTCAGCAAGCCAACAGAGGAGACGATGCACATGTAGATTTTAGTGAATCCAGCAGAGGGCTGCTCTGATGAACACAAGCAGCTTGTCTTGGCATTACTCAGTAAGGTAGGATAGACTTACCCTGTCTGCTGGTCTTCAGTATTAGCAGGAATTCAGAAAATTAGTAGCTAATGCCAGTGAAGGAACAGACTTGCTTCAAAGCGAAGTCCAGGGGGCAAAGAGGAAGACCTTTCTCATGTGTAATTTCAGACACCATCGCTCTTTGTCACTGGCCACAGATGAGAAGGTTGGGCTTTTAACGGCTTCGATGCTTTCCCGCAGGAAAGAAAGGAAGTTGCTTATGGTCCAACTGTAGCAGAATTCCTGGAAGCTGATTACTGTGTAGCACCAGCTCAGGCACTGGGCTGCCATGTCCCCGGACCTCTCTGCTTGTGGTCCTTTGAAGGTTAACCTGCATCCAAAATGAAAAAGAAGGACATTTGTCTTCCAGCTGGGGGATCACAATTACAGATATCAATAACAACAACAACACACACACACACAAACACACAGACAGACACACGAAATAAATAAATAAATAAATAAACAAATAAATAAATAAAATACAGGAGCTAGACACTGATATTGGGGTATGAACTTCAAGCTGAAAACAGGAGAGACAAAGCCACCAAGCCGCTATCTCTTGCATACCCCAGTGCCCATGAGCTCTCCCCAAGCATCAGAAGGCTTCCTCTCCTCAGCTCCTGGAGATAATCCTGAGACTGAGACTGAGACTCTTACTGACTACACAAGACCTGGCTCCTAACGTTTCTACATCTCCAGTTCTAAGATCAAGCCCAAGATCTTGCTTACCATTTTAGACTCCTTCTGTCTAACCATGTGTGTTTGTCTCCCCAGTGCTCAGATGAAAAGTTGTCTGCTTGGCTTCCATGTATCACTAGTACTGCTGATTTGCCATTTGGATGGCTCTAGGATATCTTAAACTATTTACAAGGCTTTAATAAACGTGAAACTATGTATCACCACAGATAGATTTCAGACTTCTATTTTCTGCTTTCCTCTTTCTCCCCACCACTATGGGGCTAGAGACTCTGCCGTCTCCGAAATTTTCTCTCCGGATGCCAATATTTTTTTCTAGAGAAGACATTTTAAGATACTTGGGAGGGTTACATCCCTCCATTTTCTTGTCTAGCCTGAATCTTAGGTCATACACTCAGCTGTTGAATGGTTTCCAGCATGTTATAAATCAAATTTGTTGTACAGAGCTTCTCTATAGCAGAAATATATATATATATATATATATATATATATATATATATATATATATACAACCTCACCTGTATGAAGGAAAGGGATTTATGAGAAGGACTCTGGGATACAAGTCCAAAATGCAATACTTACTCAGAAAGGTGTCATAGACCTACCTTGTCTGCTGGTCTTTAGTATTAGCAGGAATTCAGAAAATTAGTAGCTAATGCCAGTGAAGGAACAGACTTGCTTCAAGGTGAAGTCCAGTGGGCAAAGAGGAAGACCTTTCTCATGTGTATGTGCCTTTATTGGCTCCTGCCAGAGGGTGTGGCCTCACTAGAGATCAAGGAGAGGACTGAAGGTGTGTTGGTCTTCTGGCCTCAAGGTCAGGGTTAGGGTGGGTCCATCCCTCTGTCTCCAAGGTTCCTGCTGCAAGTTGAGCTACCTAGTTCAAGTGGAGCGGAGTATTTCCCACTGCAGTGCTCTGAATGTCAAGATGTTTTTTTACAACACAAGAAGTCAGGTCAGGAACCAGGATTGTCTTGTGCTTATTGTGCTAAGAGAAGAAGAGATTATCCTAAATTCTTCTCGTTCCGGTCACGCTGACAGAGTAGATTCCCAGTTTCTCAATTACTGGCCAATTACTTGGCTTTTTCTCGTTTTCCTCTAATTTATTGCTCTCGTTTTATCTTTAAAATTGTTACACCGACATGATTTTACATCCCAATCCCAGTTCCCTTTCAATCTGGCGGGAATGCCCACATTCTGCCAATCCCACTCCCAATTCACTCATCAGGATGACAAACTCCCATGTGGGGAATCAGCATAGTAAGTGACATCACTTGAGACCAGATAAAGAGCTTCCCTACTGTACCTAGGCTTAGCAAGGGATCTCTCCACAGGAGATGGCCTCTGTTTCTGCTGGTTGTGGTCTCCAAAACTGCCCAAGCCACCCGACTGTCACCCACAGTCCCTGAGGCCGAGTTCAGTCTCATGAAGCTCTCCAGCTGTCAGCCTTTAGGCACTGAGCTCCCACTCGAATCTTGCTTGGGTCTGCTGTTTCTGTGGGTTTCCCCACCAAGGTCTTTACCTCCTTGCTCACTTTCTCACTCCTCCTCCTTCTGTAAGACTGGGTGACTGCAGGAGATTGGCCAGTGCTTAGCTGTGCGTCCATCTCTTCATCAGATGCCATCAGGTACTGGATGAAGATTCGACATTGACAATGAAGCTGATGGCATCAAGCTGATGACAAGGCAAGGGTAGTTAACACACCCCCTCTCCCCTGAGGCTTAGGTTCTGAGCAGGGCTCTCCATGTTGGATTCACTGGAACTTTCCTAGAGCCTGGGCTCGGTTTTCCCTGAAACAACTCCCTCTATCAAGGTATCCCTTCCCTTGCTCAGTTTCCTTTCCCCCAAGTTAACCTTCCCAGAACCCTCCTGGTCTACACTCAGTTTCCCCTTTCCCCTGTGCCCTCCCATAACACCCAGGAGCCTAATTCACTCAGGAGATCTTGTCCATTTCCACATTCTGGACAGGGCCTGTCCAAGTAGCGCTGTCTTAATGCCCTCCTACTTTCCTGGGGTCTCTTGACTTTGTGGAGGACAAGCTGCTTGCTTGACCTTGGCTTTATGTGGAATGTCCTCTTGTGAGTGAATTCACGAGATACAGAGCTAAGCAGAGAATTCCAAGACAAGGACCTCAGAGGGCCACTAGGCCAATAAGGAAGCGATCAAGATCCAAGATCCTGAGCCATCAGAGAAATTCAAATCCAAAGTCCTCTCAGATATCATCTTCCACTTACGGTGGAGAGGTTTTGGAGTAAGGGGAGCACTGCTCCAGGGCTGGTGGGAGCACAAACAAACTTGTACTGCCACTGTGGAAGTCTGGATAAGCATTTCTCAGAAAAAGTGGAAGTGGATCCACCTCAAGGCATAGCAGGAACACTCTCGGGCATATACCCACAGGATGCACAGACATGCCAGACGGCAAGGGCATTTGCCAAAGCCAGAAGCCGAAAACGACCTAGTTGCCCCTCGGGTGAAGAACGGATTGGGAAAATGTGGTACATGTAAACGATGGAGTAAGCCTCAGTGGGAAACTTTAAGTGCAACGGAAGGGGAATGGGGACTATGGGGCCTTGGGTGGCCCTGAGGATGCTGCCCAAACCGCCACTGCCTACCAGAGTAGGATGGACTAACATGGCCTTCTTCTAACAGAAACAGCACGGGATCCACATACTGATTGTACAATTTTTATTCACAAAGTCTATTGCCTTTGGTGAACAGAGATGCAAGCACCCACACAGATAGAAAGAGGGCTTCCATCCTCTGGGACTCCAGGTGGAGACCATTGAGAAGTCACCCATGTATACTGAGAGCTGAACTCATGAACTGTTCCTCTGAAGGAGCAACAATTGTTTGGCCCACTGACTCAACCCTCTAGTCCCATCACCTGATTTTAAATGAGAACAAAAACAAACCAACCAACAAACAAAATGTCTTCTTGCTCGTCCAGGTCTGTTGTAAGCAAACATTCACGTGTGCTTCCTCCTTTTCTCTAAATCCTTGATCATATGTTCTCTCCAGTGTAGGCCTCACAGGTGTATTCCCAGGACACAGATTGGCATGGGTGTGGGTTCAGGAACTCAACAAAAGCCCAGTATCCAAATGATGGAGAAAAAGAAAGGCGGTACAGCCAGTGTGGAGAATATGCCAGAATACTGTGCTTCCCCCTTACCCAACCTGCTATTCGAATCACGGAGGGCCGGTATTGACGGCCTGAGCCCCCAAGCTGTCTTTCCCGAGATCCTCAGTAAATGCTCCAGACGTCCCAGGGTCAACCCGGTTGCCCTTGGTACCGAGGCTGGCTGCTGCTTCTGGAATGCACCTGTGGGTCACTGCTGAGAGGATCCTAAGTTTGCTTGAGGCGTTTCGGAGGGGGTTCCAGTGAAGAACAGTGAGCAGAAGCCAGGGAGCTGTATGCTTCAGCCACCAAATGGGGAAATGAGCCCACCAATGTCTTCCAGCTTGACGTCTCAGAGACCTCGGAAGCATGCGCTGTAATGAAATCCAGTGCCTGGGTTTTCAGCTGCCCTGCAGTGTGCAGGTCAGCCAGGACGAGAGTGTGGGCAGCATTCTCCACACAGAGGTCCCTGCACAAGGCATCCTCGCACATGACCTTCAAGCGCGCCAGGCCGTACTTGTCAGCAGCTGGCAGCACAGCATCTGCCATGCTGTGGAGGGCTGGTGCCTTCCCGGTGTAAATGAAGCCCATCATTGCCTCGAAGACTTGGGGCTCCAGATCATGGATCTCAAGGCGGTTTGTTCTACTCTCCTCCGAGTCACGTTGAAACATGGCTCTGAAAACCGCAGAGCGAGCTGCTAAGATGGCCTTGTGAGCCCAGAACTCCTGGCCAGCTACCACCAGGCAGCAGTCTGTGAAGAGGGACTTCTCCCACAGCTCTCCTAGCTCATCTGCCAACGTGCACCTCGGCATCTGGACCTCTGGCTTCGTGCCCTCGCCAGGGATGTCGAAGGAGTCTTGGACCACAGTCACCTGGCATCGGAGGCTCAGCTCATTGTCTTCAAGGAGCCAAGGCTCCCAGGACAGGAGGAAATCTCGAAGGATGAACTTTTTGAATCCCCAGTGTTGATTTTGCAGGAACCTCAAGAATCTTGGGCTCTTCATGCCTTGGGTTTGCTCTCCTTCGGAATTGATGATCCAGAAGTGGAATTTTGCCCATACGGGGCTCTTTGGGCAGCTGAGCAATGCTAGGTAAACCGACAAGTATCCCTCGCTTTCTTCATCGACCCCGTTCAGGTGTAATTTCAGACACCATCGCCCTTTGTCACTGGCCGCCGATGAGAAGGTTGGGCTTTTAACGGCGTCGATGCTTTCCCGCAGGAAAGAACGGAAGTCGCTTATGGTCCAACTGTAGCAGAATTCCTGGAAGCTGATTTCTGTGTAGCCCCAGCTCTGGCACTGGGCTGCCATGTCCCCGGACCTCTCTGCTTGTGGTCCTTTGAAGGTTAACCTGCATCCAAAATGAAAAAGAAGGACATTTGTCTTCCAGCTGGGGGATCACAATTACAGATATCAATAACAACAACACACACACACACAAACACACAGACAGACACACGAAATAAATAAATAAATAAATAAACAAATAAATAAATAAAATACAGGAGCTAGACACTGATATTGGGGTTTGAACTTCAAGCTGAAAACAGGAGAGACAAAGCCACCAAGCCGCTATCTCTTGCATACCCCAGTGCCCATGAGCTCTCCCTAAGCATCAGAAGGCTTCCTCTCCTCAGCTCCTGGAGATAATCCTGAGACTGAGACTGAGACTCTTACTGACTACACAAGACCTGGCTCCTATCTTTTCTACACCTCTAGTTCTAAGATCAAGCCCAAGATCTCGCTTACCCTTTTAGACTCCTTCCGTCTCGGGTGTAGCCCTGCTTGTACTTGAATATAGAGAGAACCATGTGTGTTTGTCTCCCCAGTGCACAGATGAAAAGTTGTCTGCTTGGCTTCCATGTATCACTAGTACTGCTGATTTGCCATTTGGATGGCTCTAGGATATCTTAAACTATTTACAAGGCTTTAATAAATCTGAAACTATGTATCACCACAGATAGATTTCAGACTTCTATTTTCTGCTTTCCTCTTTCTCCCCACCACTATGGGGCTAGAGACTCTGCCGTCTCCGAAATTTTCTCTCCGGATGCCAATATTTTTTTCTAGAGAAGACATTTTAAGATACTTGGGAGGGTTACATCCCTCCATTTTCTTGTCTAGCTTGAATCTTAGGTCATACACTCAGCTGTTGAATGGTTTCCAGCATGTTATAAATCAAATTTGTTGTACGGAGCTTCTCTATAGCAATATATATATATATATATATATATATATATATATATATATATATATCCAACCTCTCCTGTATGAAGGAAAGGGATTTAAGAGAAGGACTCTGGGATACAAGTCTAAAATGCAATACTTACTCAGAAAGGTGGCATAGACCTACCTTGTCTGCTGGTCTTCAGTATTAGCAGGAAATCAGAAAATTAGTAGCTAATGCCAGTGAAGGAACAGACTTGCTTCAAGGCGAAGTCCAGTGGGCAAAGAGGAAGACCTTTCTCATGTGTATGAGCCTTTATTGGCTCCTGCCAGAGGGTGTGGCCTCACTAGAGATCAAGGAGAGGACTGAAGGTGTGTTGGTCTTCTGGCCTCAAGGTCAGGGTTAGGGTGGGTCCATCCCTCTGTCTCCAAGGTTCCTGCTGCAAGTTGAGCTACCTAGTTCAAGTGGAGCGGAGTATTTCCCACTGCAGTGCTCTGAATGTCAAGATGTTTTTTTACAACACAAGAAGTCAGGTCAGGAACCAGGATTGTCTTGTGCTTATTGTGCTAAGAGAAGAAGAGATTATCCTAAATTCTTCTCGTTCCGGTCACGCTGACAGAGTAGATTCCCAGTTTCTCAATTACTGGCCAATTACTTGGCTTTTTCTCGTTTTCCTCTAATTTATTGCTCTCGTTTTATCTTTAAAATTGTTACACCGACATGATTTTACATCCCAATCCCAGTTCCCTTTCAATCTGGCGGGAATGCCCACATTCTGCCAATCCCACTCCCAATTCACTCATCAGGATGACAAACTCCCATGTGGGGAATCAGCATAGTAAGTGACATCACTTGAGACCAGATAAAGAGCTTCCCTACTGTACCTAGGCTTAGCAAGGGATCTCTCCACAGGAGATGGCCTCTGTTTCTGCTGGTTGTGGTCTCCAAAACTGCCCAAGCCACCCGACTGTCACCCACAGTCCCTGAGGCCGAGTTCAGTCTCATGAAGCTCTCCAGCTGTCAGCCTTTAGGCACTGAGCTCCCACTCGAATCTTGCTTGGGTCTGCTGTTTCTGTGGGTTTCCCCACCAAGGTCTTTACCTCCTTGCTCACTTTCTCACTCCTCCTCCTTCTGTAAGACTGGGTGACTGCAGGAGATTGGCCAGTGCTTAGCTGTGCGTCCATCTCTTCATCAGATGCCATCAGGTACTGGATGAAGATTCGACATTGACAATGAAGCTGATGGCATCAAGCTGATGACAAGGCAAGGGTAGTTAACACACCCCCTCTCCCCTGAGGCTTAGGTTCTGAGCAGGGCTCTCCATGTTGGATTCACTGGAACTTTCCTAGAGCCTGGGCTCGGTTTTCCCTGAAACAACTCCCTCTATCAAGGTATCCCTTCCCTTGCTCAGTTTCCTTTCCCCCAAGTTAACCTTCCCAGAACCCTCCTGGTCTACACTCAGTTTCCCCTTTCCCCTGTGCCCTCCCATAACACCCAGGAGCCTAATTCACTCAGGAGATCTTGTCCATTTCCACATTCTGGACAGGGCCTGTCCAAGTAGCGCTGTCTTAATGCCCTCCTACTTTCCTGGGGTCTCTTGACTTTGTGGAGGACAAGCTGCTTGCTTGACCTTGGCTTTATGTGGAATGTCCTCTTGTGAGTGAATTCACGAGATACAGAGCTAAGCAGAGAATTCCAAGACAAGGACCTCAGAGGGCCACTAGGCCAATAAGGAAGCGATCAAGATCCAAGATCCTGAGCCATCAGAGAAATTCAAATCCAAAGTCCTCTCAGATATCATCTTCCACTTACGGTGGAGAGGTTTTGGAGTAAGGGGAGCACTGCTCCAGGGCTGGTGGGAGCACAAACAAACTTGTACTGCCACTGTGGAAGTCTGGATAAGCATTTCTCAGAAAAAGTGGAAGTGGATCCACCTCAAGGCATAGCAGGAACACTCTCGGGCATATACCCACAGGATGCACAGACATGCCAGACGGCAAGGGCATTTGCCAAAGCCAGAAGCCGAAAACGACCTAGTTGCCCCTCGGGTGAAGAACGGATTGGGAAAATGTGGTACATGTAAACGATGGAGTAAGCCTCAGTGGGAAACTTTAAGTGCAACGGAAGGGGAATGGGGACTATGGGGCCTTGGGTGGCCCTGAGGATGCTGCCCAAACCGCCACTGCCTACCAGAGTAGGATGGACTAACATGGCCTTCTTCTAACAGAAACAGCACGGGATCCACATACTGATTGTACAATTTTTATTCACAAAGTCTATTGCCTTTGGTGAACAGAGATGCAAGCACCCACACAGATAGAAAGAGGGCTTCCATCCTCTGGGACTCCAGGTGGAGACCATTGAGAAGTCACCCATGTATACTGAGAGCTGAACTCATGAACTGTTCCTCTGAAGGAGCAACAATTGTTTGGCCCACTGACTCAACCCTCTAGTCCCATCACCTGATTTTAAATGAGAACAAAAACAAACCAACCAACAAACAAAATGTCTTCTTGCTCGTCCAGGTCTGTTGTAAGCAAACATTCACGTGTGCTTCCTCCTTTTCTCTAAATCCTTGATCATATGTTCTCTCCAGTGTAGGCCTCACAGGTGTATTCCCAGGACACAGATTGGCATGGGTGTGGGTTCAGGAACTCAACAAAAGCCCAGTATCCAAATGATGGAGAAAAAGAAAGGCGGTACAGCCAGTGTGGAGAATATGCCAGAATACTGTGCTTCCCCCTTACCCAACCTGCTATTCGAATCACGGAGGGCCGGTATTGACGGCCTGAGCCCCCAAGCTGTCTTTCCCGAGATCCTCAGTAAATGCTCCAGACGTCCCAGGGTCAACCCGGTTGCCCTTGGTACCGAGGCTGGCTGCTGCTTCTGGAATGCACCTGTGGGTCACTGCTGAGAGGATCCTAAGTTTGCTTGAGGCGTTTCGGAGGGGGTTCCAGTGAAGAACAGTGAGCAGAAGCCAGGGAGCTGTATGCTTCAGCCACCAAATGGGGAAATGAGCCCACCAATGTCTTCCAGCTTGACGTCTCAGAGACCTCGGAAGCATGCGCTGTAATGAAATCCAGTGCCTGGGTTTTCAGCTGCCCTGCAGTGTGCAGGTCAGCCAGGACGAGAGTGTGGGCAGCATTCTCCACACAGAGGTCCCTGCACAAGGCATCCTCACACATGACCTTCAAGCGCGCCAGGCCGTACTTGTCAGCAGCTGGCAGCACAGCATCTGCCATGCTGTGGAGGGCTGGTGCCTTCCCGGTGTAAATGAAGCCCATCATTGCCTCGAAGACTTGGGGCTCCAGATCATGGATCTCAAGGCGGTTTGTTCTACTCTCCTCCGAGTCACGTTGAAACATGGCTCTGAAAACCGCAGAGCGAGCTGCTAAGATGGCCTTGTGAGCCCAGAACTCCTGGCCAGCTACCACCAGGCAGCAGTCTGTGAAGAGGGACTTCTCCCACAGCTCTCCTAGCTCATCTGCCAACGTGCACCTCGGCATCTGGACCTCTGGCTTCGTGCCCTCGCCAGGGATGTCGAAGGAGTCTTGGACCACAGTCACCTGGCATCGGAGGCTCAGCTCATTGTCTTCAAGGAGCCAAGGCTCCCAGGACAGGAGGAAATCTCGAAGGATGAACTTTTTGAATCCCCAGTGTTGATTTTGCAGGAACCTCAAGAATCTTGGGCTCTTCATGCCTTGGGTTTGCTCTCCTTCGGAATTGATGATCCAGAAGTGGAATTTTGCCCATACGGGGCTCTTTGGGCAGCTGAGCAATGCTAGGTAAACCGACAAGTATCCCTCGCTTTCTTCATCGACCCCGTTCAGGTGTAATTTCAGACACCATCGCCCTTTGTCACTGGCCGCCGATGAGAAGGTTGGGCTTTTAACGGCGTCGATGCTTTCCCGCAGGAAAGAACGGAAGTCGCTTATGGTCCAACTGTAGCAGAATTCCTGGAAGCTGATTTCTGTGTAGCCCCAGCTCTGGCACTGGGCTGCCATGTCCCCGGACCTCTCTGCTTGTGGTCCTTTGAAGGTTAACCTGCATCCAAAATGAAAAAGAAGGACATTTGTCTTCCAGCTGGGGGATCACAATTACAGATATCAATAACAACAACACACACACACACAAACACACAGACAGACACACGAAATAAATAAATAAATAAATAAACAAATAAATAAATAAAATACAGGAGCTAGACACTGATATTGGGGTTTGAACTTCAAGCTGAAAACAGGAGAGACAAAGCCACCAAGCCGCTATCTCTTGCATACCCCAGTGCCCATGAGCTCTCCCCAAGCATCAGAAGGCTTCCTCTCCTCAGCTCCTGGAGATAATCCTGAGACTGAGACTGAGACTCTTACTGACTACACAAGACCTGGCTCCTATCTTTTCTACACCTCTAGTTCTAAGATCAAACCCAAGATCTCACTTACCCTTTTAGACTCCTTCGGTCTAACCATGTGTGTTTGTCTCCCCAGTGCTCAGAAGAAAAGTTGTCTGCTTGGCTTCCATGTATCACTAGTACTGCTGATTTGCCATTTGGATGGCTCTAGGATATCTTAAACTGTTTACAAGGCTTTAATAAATCTGAATCTATGTATCACCACAGATAGATTTCAGACTTCTATTTTCTGCTTTCCTCTTTCTCCCCACCACTATGGGGCTAGAGACTCTGCCGTCTCCGAAATTTTCTCTCCGGATGCCAATATTTTTTTCTAGAGAAGACATTTTAAGATACTTGGGAGGGTTACATCCCTCCATTTTCTTGTCTAGCTTGAATCTTAAGTCATACACTCAGCTGTTGAATGGTTTCCAGCATTGTATAAATCAAATTTGTTGTACGGAGCTTCACTAGAGAAGAAATATATATATATATATATATCCAACCTCTGCCTGTATGAAGGAAAGGGATTCATGAGAAGGCTCTGGGATACAAGTCTAAAATACAGTACTTATTTAGTATGGTGGGATAGACCTACCTTGTCTGCTGGTCTTCAGTATTAGCAGGAATTCAGAAAATAAGTAGCTAATGCCAGTGAAGGAACAGACTTGCTTCAAGGCAAGGCCTGTGGGCAAAGAGGAAGACCTTTCTCTGTGTATGTGCATTTATTGGCTCCTCCTTGAGGGTGTGGCCTCACTAAAGATCAAGGAGAGGACTAAAGTGTGTTGGTCTTCTGGCCTCAAGGTCAGGGTTAGGGTAGGTCCATCCCTCTGTCTCCAATGTTCCTGCTGCAAGTTGAGCTACCTAATTCAACTGGAGCATGAATATTTCCCACTGCAGTGCTCTGAATGTCAAGATGTTAGTTTACAACACAAGAAGTCAGGTCAGGAACCAGGATTGTCTTGTGCTTATTGTGCTAAGAGAAGAAAAGAGGATCCTAAATTCTTCTCGCTCAGGTCACGCTGACAGAGTAGATTCCCAGTTTCTCAATTACTGGCCAATTACTTGGCTTTTTCTCATTTTCCTCTAATTTATTGCTCTTGTTTTATCGTTAAAATTGTTACACCGACATGATTTTACATCCCAATCCCAGTTCCCTTTCAATCTGGCGGGAATGCCCACATTCTGCCAACCCCACTCCCAATTCACTTATCAGGATGACAAACTCCCACGTGGGGAATCAGCATAGTAAGTGACATCACTTGAGACCAGATAAAGAGCTTCCCTACTGTACCTAGGCTTAGCAAGGGATCTCTCCACAGGAGATGGACTCTGTTTCTGCTGGTTGTGGTCCCCACAACTGCCCAAGCCACCCGACTGTCAGCCAAAGTCCCTGAGGCCGAGTTCGGTCTCATGAAGCTCTCCAGCTGTCAGCCTTTAGGCACTGAGCTCCTACTCGAATCTTGCTTGGGTCTGCTGTTTCTGTGGGTTTCCCCACCAAGGTCTTTACCTCCTTGCTCACTTTCTCACTCCTCCTCCTTCTGTAAGACTGGGTGACTGCAGGAGATTGGCCAGTGCTTAGCTGTGCATCTATCTCTACATCAGATTCCATCAAGTACTGGATGAAGATTTGACAGTGACAATGAACCAGAAAGCACATGAGGAAGCGCCACACTTTGTTTCGTGTAGGGGTTTCCTTTCCAGGCTGGTCCCACTGCCAAAACACCCTTAAATACCACAAAGGGACACTCTGTTAGATATAAAGCTGTAGGCCAGTTAATGTTGGTTATCAGCTAGATCTGTCTTAAATAAAAACATATTTATATCAATCTTTGTATTTCCATGTAGTCTCATTTTACTGGAAAGGGAGGCTCGTGTTTTCTCTCTATCCTCTACTTTGGATCTCCTCCCCTTTGCTACCTCTTTCCTCCTTGTCTCCTAGTCCCACCTATCTGTCTTTCCTATTGTCCAACAGTGCTCTATTCATTTAAATGTAGGAGAAACATATTTGCAGAATGACATTTCCCATTATCTCCTCTTTTCTGTCTAAAATAAAAAGAAGGGTATTAACCTTAGCATAGCAAAACACATCATACAACATTTGTCACATAAGAATCACAGTTAACAATATTTTTTACATTAACATTTAGCAAGGTTTATATATTTTATCATCTATCCTATCTTTGTTAATCTACAGTCCTATATGTAAATTAACTCTTTTCTCAAATGAAGGAAACTATAACCATAAATATCTCTCTCCAAGTCCATCAAAGATCACAGAATGATAATGCATAAACTCTAGAAATGACAGAGTCAACTTGCTTCCTGGTTAGTCACCTGAATTTCTTCTGTAATGTTCTATCTTCAGCCTATCGGCCACAGTGTGTCTGGCAGGCTCCTCAGCAAAGCAGAAAACTTTATACAGTCCACCTGTATTGGCAGTTTGTCTGTCATTTTTCTCTTTGTTCTGCAATGTGTCTGGAAGAATCTTCCATGAAGCAGGAACCCTGAGGCACTGTCCACCTTCTATCAACAGTCACTTTCCTGTGGGTCCTGCATGTCTGTTTATACAGGATAAATATGAACAGTTCAGACAGG